TGGCTTATCTTTCTTAATCTCCAGGCCCTTTTAAAAAGGGTTAAGGATGTTGGATTTTTGAAACGGGGTTCTGCGCCCACAGGACTGCCTTGACGAGCAGAAGACCTTGCATGAGCTGGGGGTGTTGCTGGGCCAACTTGGCAAAGTGAGCGCCGAGCTGAGCCAGAACTGAGCTGTTGGCTCAGCCGGGAGCGCGACAGTGATGCCCGGGGCGACTTGAAGGTGCTGTGAAGGCCCCAAAAGGCCCCTGGATGGCGTTTCTTAGTCTCCTGTTTTTGGCCAGGGTTTGGATGAGATCCTCTGAAGTTCTTACCCTACGCCCTCCTTAACATCCTGAAGCCTTGAGACCCTTTAGTAACACCCTGAACCCCAAACCTAAACTTCCAAAAACTTCCAAAACCCAAACCCTAAACCCAAAACCCAAAACCCAAAACCCTAAACCCAAAACCCTAAACCCTAAACCCCAAACCCTAAACCCCAACCCAAAACCCCCCAAACCCTAAGCCCTAAACCCACAGCGGCTGACCAGCTGCAGAAGGGGGACCTTGCGCGCCAAGCTCAGACCACTCGCGGGCCAAGCGATGGTCAGTCTGCAGAGGCCTCAAGGATGCTTGGCTTTGTTTAGGGTTTAGGGTTTAGGGTTTAGGGTTTAGGATTTTAAGATTTTAGGATTTTAGAGTTTGGGTTGAGGTTTGGGGTTTGTGGTTTAGGGTTCATGCCCCCCAAGCCAACACCCCCTAAACCCTTAAAACCCGGCAAGCCCCTGAAGTCCCTCCCGCCCCGTGAAACCCCTAAACTGAAGCCTCCATCTAAGGGTAGTTATATGGGCCTTGAATATGGTCCCATACCTCCTTTAAAGAGGGTTCTGAAGCATGTGCCATGGGGGCTGTAGAGGGCAGATCAGGGGTATATAAGACAAGGCGTCCCCTCTTGCGGGCCCATACTAAGGGACCATGTATCTACCCTGAACCCTAAACCCTAAACCCTAAACCCTCAACCCTCAACCCTCAACCCTCAACCCTCAACCCTCAACCCTCAACCCTCAACCCTCAACCCTCAACCCTCAACCCTAAACCCCAAACCCTAAACCCTAAACCCTAAACCCTATAAACCCTAAACCCTAGACCCAGACTCGCCCTCGTTGCGTGGTCATCCGTTTGGCATCCTGCAGTGCTGCAGCACAGGGAACGAGTTGCGCGGAGCGCGCTCGTGTCCGGGAAGGCACCGGACCACCCTAAACCCTCAGGGGTTTAGGGTTTAGGGTTTCGGGTTTCGGGTTTAGGGTTTAGGGTTTCGGGTTTAGGGTTTAGGGTTTAGGCCTTAGGGTTTAGGGCTAGGGTAAGCCTAAGCCATAATTAGACCTGAAGCCCTCTTCCATGTGCCTTTTTCCACGACTTGGAGCGCCTGCTCGGATTGAGCGAAGTTCCATGTTGGCGAGAGGGTTTAGGGTTTGGGGCCTCTAAACCCTGAACCAAAAAAACTCCTCAATCCCCCAAACTCCCCAAAACTCCAAAACCCTGAAACGCGAAACGAAAATCTCTACATGCCCCCAAGCCCCAAAACGGCCTTAAACCCTAAATCCTAAACCCTAAACCCTTTATCCTTAACCCTTCACCCTTAAACCCTATAAGCCCTAACCCTCAAACCCTAAACCCCACTCGGGGCCAGTGCATGCCCGACTCGCCGCTCCTGGAAGGGAGAAAGAGCGCCGCAACCCTATACCCTAAACCCCAAGCCCTAAGCCCAAAACCCCAAGCCCTAAACCCTAAACCCCCAAACCCTAGACCCTAAACCCTGAACCCCCCAAGGCCGTAAGGTTCACCTAAAGAACCGACCTAAGAAAAGTAGGTTTCGGGCTCTTCAGGTAGGGCTGACCATGTACATGCACTTTTGGTTAAGACCTGGGCTCCTTGCCCAAGCTTCTTCTCCTCAGACCCAGAATCCTTAACCGAGTACCCTACTAAAACAAGTCCCAAGCACCGAAGTCATCTGGAACAGGGGGAATGGCCCTCAATCTTCCTTCGACCCTTGGCCGATGGCGGTACCCTAAAACCTGAAAACCCTGAGAGCCCTTAGCCTGAAAGCCTTCAAGCCACAGCCCTGAAAGCAGGTGAACCCTGGAAGCCCTTCCATCCTCCAACCCCGCAAGCCCTGAATGCGAGCCCTCAACGCCTTATACAGTTCACTTAAGACTTTCGAACCTGAAGCCCGCAAAATCCCTGAACCCCCCCCCCCCCCCACCCCCCAAATTCTAAATCCTAACACCTTCAATCTAAAACACCCTGACACCCCTTACCCTAAACCTCAAACAAACATACGTTAAAACCCGGTCCCTCACGCACATGCACATCAGGACCTCTCCACTTCGTAGAGGGGAGGCTCTTCTGCGTTTTGGTTCAGGGCTTCTAGGGTGTAGGATTCTTGGTGTTTAGTGTTTAGGGTTTGGGGTTCAGGGTTCAGGGTTTAGGCTTTTAGGGCTCAGGGTTTCTAGGATTTCCTGGCTTCGGAATTATCAATCTGCATCCCGCGCCAGGTCAAAGAGACACTGAGGGACCTGGGCCTCACCAAGAGGTGGGCGAAGTTGGGCTCATGAAGAGCTGGTGGAGAGTTGTGAAACTCGGGACTGCTAGGTCCGCTAAGGTTGAGGGTTTAGGGTTTAGGGTTGAAGGCATATCATAATCTGCCCGCCCTCAACCTCACACACCCTAAAGCCCGAACCCCGAAGGATCCCAGGCTTGAAACAGGTTTAGGGTTTAGGGTTTAGGGTTTAGAGTTCAGGGTTCAGGGTCCAGGGTTTAGGGTTTAGGGTCGGCGCAGCTTGGTAGCCCGGTGTTACCCTTTCCCCTTTTCTTGGTTCGAGGTTCCCTTATAAAAGTACCCAACCCCAAAAAGGGGTACCCTTACTATTACTATGATATGGTGGCTAAGCTACGAAGTTAGGGCCTTGGTTTGGGGTCTAATTTGAGTTTACCGCGCCTTGTTGAAGGCTTCGGTGATGATATTTACTGTTGCTATTGCTGGCCCGGACGTGACGTTGTGCCTCCCATGCCGCAAACATCGGAATGTAAAGCATGTTCGGCCTTCCCGCCGTGGGTGGAGGTTGGGGTGGCCACGCGAAACGCGGTGCGGTTTGGGGTTTAGGGTTTGGGGTTTAGGGTTTTGGGTTTGGGGTTTAGGGTTTGGCGTTTAGGGTTTAGGGTGCGTAAAACACAAAAGTGACAACGATGAACACTTGATGTCTGTGAGACGTGACATACTGTACGTGCAATGATTCACGAGCATGTCCATGGCCACGTATTCTTATTGTTATTAATGAAGATTGTAAATGAATTTTCATTTTGTTTCATCGTTATTTGCATGTTTTACTATGATTGTTATCAAGTATGCTTGTTCTGGTCATTAATTATTCTCATTACTAGTGTTTACTCATGATTACTGTCGCTATTACTATGATTCGTGTTGCTACTTCTTGTTGCTACTGCTACTGCTACTGCTACTTCTGCTACTACTACTACTACTACTACTACTACTACTACTACTACTACTACTACTACTACTACTACTACTACTACTACTACTACTACTACTACTACTACTACTACTACTACTACTACTACTACTACTACTACTACTACTACTACTACTACTACTACTACTACTACTACTACTACTACTACTACTACTACTACTACTACTACTACTACTACTACTACTACTACTACTAGGGGTATTGCGCGTATTTGACGCTGTGTCATCCTTCATTTTGCATGTTTTCCCATGTTCTTCCATAGGCGAAAACACTGCTATTTGCAGTGTTTTCTGCTCATGCATTGAATGCTATGCCACACTCCGCCAATTCCCAACGGCGACGCCCATGAGGGCCATTCGATTTTTTTGTCAGGGTCTTCGGTTTCCCATGAGGGCCTTTCGATTTTTTGTGAGGGTCTTCGGTTTCCCATGAGGGCCTTTGATTTCCCATGAGGGCCTTGCCCCAATAATTTGTGATTAAAATTGGCTTTGGCTTGGCTTGGCTTGGGGGGGTGGGGGGGGCTTGGGGCTGGGGGGGGGGGGGGGTTACCTGGGCTTTTGGGTTTAAGGCTATAGGAGTTTTCGCCTGGCACTTCAAGCTTCGGGATTTCTGGTTTTCGGTTTCAGGGTAGACGAGTTTTGAGCTTGCACTTGAAGCTTCGGGGTTCGGGTTTAGGGTTTAAGGGTCCAGGAAATTTGGGCTTCCACTTGAACCTTCGGGGTTTGGGGTTTAGGGCTTCAGGGTCCAGCAATGTTGGGCTTCCACGTGAAGCTTCGGGGTTTGGGGTTTAGCTTGAGGGTACACGGCTTTTGGGCCTCCACTTGAAGCTTCGGGGTTTGGGGTTGAGGGCTTAAGGGTCCAGGAATTTGGGGCCTCCACTTGAAGCTTCGGGGTTTGGGGGTTAGGGCTTAAGGGTCCAGGAAATTTGGGGCCTCCACTTGAAGCTTCGGGGTTTGGGGTTGAGGGCTTAAGGGTCCAGGAATTTGGGGCCTCCACTTGAAGCTTCGGGGTTTGGGGGTTAGGGCTTAAGGGTCCAGGAAATTTGGGGCCTCCACTTGAAGCTTCGGGGTTTGGGGGTTAGGGCTCAAGGGTCCAGGAAATTTGGGGCCTCCACTTGAAGCTTCGGGGTTTGGGGGTTAGGGCTTAAGGGTCCAGGAAATTTGGGCCTCCACTTGAAGCTTCGGGGTTTGGGGTTGAGGGCTTAAGGGTCCAGGAAATTTGGGGCCTCCACTTGAAGCTTCGGGGTTTGGGGTTTCGGGCTTAAGGGTACACGGCTGTTGGCCCTTCACTTGAATTTGGGGGTTTGGGGCCGTCCCTCATTTTCAACGCTGCTTCTCCCCGTGCAACTTTCGTGCTCTTTGTCTGGCACTCATTTTGGAGTCACCGACTTCACGCCCCCTGAGAGCAAAGCCTAGTGCAGAGACCCTTGTGCACGCGTAGACTACTTCTTGAACATGTACCGTTCCTCGGCTCAAGGCCTCGCTCCTCGGCTCAAAGCTGCCCGGAAAGATATCCACTCCGCCTTTGTCTCTGGGCTCAGCTCAGAGATCCTCGAGCGGGGAAACTCATGCTTGAAAAAGCAGGCGCATCTGCCAATGTAGTCCCGGTCCCAATACCCACTACATATCAAGATAAGGTCGCCGGCATGTGCGCCGTCCGGCACCACCCAAGGCACCATCGCCCTTTGGTTGTGCCACGGGCAACGGCCCCAACGAAACTTGCGGGCATGTTTCTGCCCCTCTACGTACATGTCATGCCCTCCAAAGGTCACGTCGGCTCCCGGTCGCAGGAACATGTTGCTGGTATCCGGCACGTTGCGCACCCACGAGGCGTCAAGCTTCACAAACCAGGAAGCTGGAGCTGGCACCATGTTCATGCCACCCGCCGCAGTCTTCCTCACTTTGGCCGGCCTCCCAGCAGGTTACTTTTTCGGTTCGACATGCGGCCTTCGGGCTTAGGCCTTAGGGCTTAGGGTTTCAGGTTTAAGGTTTAGGGTTTGGGTTTAGGCTTCAGGGTTCAGGGTTTAGGCCTTTGGGTTTCAGGTTTAGGGTCTAGGCTTGAGGGTCTACGGTTTAGGGTTTAGGGTTTCAGGTCTAGGGTTCAGGGTTTTGGGTTTTGGGTTTCACGTCTAGGGTTCAGGGTTTAGGGTTTACGGTTTGGAGTTTAGGGATTACATATTCGGGTCGGGTTTAACCTTCTTCAAAATCCCCGCCTGCTCTCTTCTTCCGGCTGTGTGCCGATGACAGACTCCTGCAAAATTGTGGACTTTAGTTACCAGGCTTTCGGGCTCCGATGCTTACTTTGGGCTCTTCCGGGTCCTGTGAGTCCGAAGAGATGCCCTCCTCATCCGTTGCTGTGCTCGGGCCAGACGTCTTGACATCAACTGCCCCATCTGCCCCAGCATCGGCACTGAAGCGCCACGGACCCAACACTGCGTTGCCAGGAAACATGGCACTAGCCGCTTGTCTGGACTAACTGTAATGCACAAAACTGCGGCAAAAGGTCCATGTTCCATCGTCCCTCCTTCTTTCATTCCAAGCCTGCAGTAAAACTACACCCTTCGGTCTGCTGCAGAGGTCCTGAGCGCTGTCCCCCGTAAACCCTCAAGTCAGCAAGTCTTCTTATACTGCCGCGGCCTTCGCGCATGTCACTGTCCAGAAACATCGGGCTGGGTCAGCAGCCCGGCAGTCAACAGCGCAGCATCTTCAAACACTTGCTCCAAGCTTTTCCACACATGCTGCTGGAAGATATCTCTATGACTTCGCATGTGGTGCAAAGCCTGCTGAAGCAACTCTTCCAGGCACCCAAGCCGAACACGCCACTCATTGCCGTGGCATTCCAGGACTTGTGTCATGGGATACTCTGAGAACGTCACTTCCCTCAGAGATGCAGGAATGTACTCGAGCATGCGAACATCAGAGAAGACCAGTGTGCAAAGAACGTCGCCGCACAGGCGGAGCAGCGTCAAATTTTCCATGTCCGGCCGGTCCACGTACACTCTGCTCCTAATGTTCCACAGCGGCACCAGTGCACAAAGAATCTCATGAAGCTCATGGTCACGCCAGTTCTCGTAAGAGAGACCCGTGCCGAAGCTCTCTTCTGCCACGCTGCTAACCCTCGCTGCCACCTTTTGGGTCACATGTCATGGAATGAAGGTCATATTCCAATCTGCACAGACACGGAACGCTTCTGCAGTCCCAACCCATGCCTGCATGACCAGGTCCTCTGCAACCGGAGCCCACATGGCCAGGGGTGCAAAGAGCGGGTGGTTTCCGTACAGTATCAGAGCCACCAAGCTACGCTTCACTTATACTTTGTACATACCATATAGTGTCTAATATATACTATATAATATACATAATATATTATATACTATATATTTCTTATATACTATTTATTATATAATAATAATATATATATATATATATATATTATTTTATATATATTTCTTATTATTATTCTTCTATCTATACTATATATTTTAGTGGGTTTCAGGTTTAGGGCTTAGGGCTTAACCCCACACCTCAAGCCCTGGTGGTCCCACGGTGCATGTTGGCCGTTACCAGGACGAGAGGATGTGGGGGGGGCTGCCGGAACTAAACCTATGCCTACACCCCAAAGCTTTCGAGTTTTAGGGTGTAGCCCTTTTGATCTTTCCCTTCAGGCTTTTGGGTTGGGACTTTAGAGTTTCAGGGTTCACGATGTTCGGGCTTGCGAATCATGGAAGGTCCTCACCCTAAGCCAGGAAACTCAAGCTTCTTAAGCCTAAACCCCAGACCTGCAAAGTCTTTAGGCTGGGCCCCAAAGCTGCAAGGTTCTAAGCGTCTTCAGCCCAAGTCTGAAAGCTTACGAGTCTGAGCCCTAACCCCTAAACCACATAACTCAAGCTCCCCGGCTAGACCTGCGATTTGGCTGCTGTCTGTGTCCGCGCAGCTGCAGCAATCTCTGTGTCTGGCACTCATTTTGGAGTCCCTGACGTTTTTCCCCAGATGCCAAGGCCGTAACACAGTTGCAATATGTTTAACTGCGCTACTTTCGTATTGTTTACACAGCACGCCTGCCTCATGCTGCCTCGGCATCACCCCCAGTGAACAGGGCCCATCTCCCCACGGACCGGCTCACGTGATACTTTCTGTGGTACATCTTCAGCCCGCGCAACAAGCAGGCGCGGAAGTTCCGCTGCGTCAAGCTTTTCATGTTCTCGTTATGCCGCAACAGCCAAGCGAAAATCAGCGTCACAAGCCAGCCATTCATGGATCCGTCTGATTTTCGCGCTCTGACGCCTGCACAAAATTTGTCCAGTGAACGCCATCTGGAGTCGATTGACATTGTACCCGCCACTTTTCCATTGCTGAGCTTTCTGACGTACTCCTCGCAAGAGATGCGGACAGTTGACTTAGAATGAAAACGCTTCTAGGATTTTGGGCCTGGCCCTAAACATGTGGATTTTTGGGGTCTGGGCTTCCACATCTCGGATTAGGAGTCCTTCTTCTTGTGGCTCACTGCATGAAACTGCAGTTTCTTCTTCTTCTCTTTGGCTGCGCACCGAGCGTAGCAAGAGTTACCATCTGTGTACACTGCACGCTTCTTCGACACACAGACCTTGTTCAAGATCTTGCTGGAAACCACGTCCTCCCAGCAGTCGCAGACGACAGTTGCACTTACAAAATGCTCTTGAGGGTTTGGGGTTTAGGGGTTTCAGCTTTCCAAAACAAAAACCTGCAGGGACTCCGGCGGCGGTGGGGCTTTCTTGGACACCAACTTGGACGGCAGCATACTGACACATAGCGCGCCCCCACGGACACAGATGCCGGCCAGGCGCACGTGGCACTGGAACACTTCTGGTCCACGCTCTGCACCATATATCTTCTGAAGATGCTGAAAGTGTGGATTCCTGCCTGACACGTAAAAGCGTTTGAGCGCATGCGCATCAACTTCTGTGTCATTCTTGAGAATCCGCTTTCTGTTGTTCGCGAAACCCAGGAGAGACTCCGACTTCAAACAGACATCGATCATGTTCCCCAACTTTCTCCTGCCCCATCCAAGAATGCGATTTAGATCCGTGGCTGTCGGTCTCTGGAGCATGCTCTGTCGACTGTAGACCGCGAGGAACTCGTAGATCTCTGCAGGTGTTGTTCTGCAATGCCGGAAGGGGGAAAACCACACGTAGTTCGTGTACCTGTGGCACTTGGCACAGGATATGAAGCGAAGACCCGCCTTTGTCCCCCGCTTCGTGTTGCTCGGCTTGACTTGGTCGGACTTGCAGTGGCTGCATGTCTTTGGTCTTTCCATGACACCAGCCTTCAGCAGCTCTTGGTAGCATTTCTCCTCATCTTTCAGGATCTCACGCTCAGATTCGATGTCTGCCCGCTTCACGCACGGCTGCTGCTTGCGTTTCCGCGCACCGCTATACTGCAGCCTGGCAGAAACTTTGCTCTCACCGTCCTTGCGAAGACGACGAAGCCGCCGTTGAGGTTCCGCACGCGCATGCCTTTGCACTTTTTGCTGAAGCTCCCGGATGAGCCTACCTGCATAGGTAGTGCAAGTCTCCTGCCGGTGGCCCGGCTGCCCACACACACGGCATCTATGTCTGGACTGCTTCGGCATGGCTTTCCTTTCGCATTCGAGCATGGAAACAAGCGAAGACAAGTTCGAGATTGCAGCCTTGACCTTACAAGACAGGAAATTCCTGTAATTGGCGTCGTCGTTGGGAAATGAGCACTCTGCCCAAGAACGCTGCTTTTACCGATGGAAAAGGCACTTCGGACGCAGACGGACGCGGCGTCAAATACGCGCGGAGCGCGTACTACTACTACTACTACTACTACTACTACTACTACTACTACTACTACTACTACTACTACTACTACTACTACTACTACTACTACTACTACTACTACTACTACTTCAACTACTACTACTCCTACTACTACTACTACTACTACTACTACTCCTACTACTACTACTACTACTACTACTACTACTACTACTACTACTACTACTACTACTACTACTACTACTACTACTACTACTACTACTACTACTACTACTACTACTACTACTACTACTAGTACTGCTACTAGGACGACGACGACTACGACGACTACTACTACTACTACTACTACTACTACTACTACTACTACTACTACTACTACTACTACTACTACTAGGACGACCGCGACGACGACGACGACTACTACTACTACTACTAATAATAATAATAATACTACATTTACTATTCTAGCGCTTGTGTTTTTATTGTTACAAGTTATTGTTCTACTCATGTTTCTTCATACTGCTCTCACTATCTTCTTACATCACGAATTCCCTGCGGGAGGCACCTCCTCACTTTCCGGCTCAACGACGAGGACGTTGGGGAAGCCACGGGGGGTCGTGGTGAAGCGTCCCCTCCCCCCTCCCCCCCCCCCCACCCCCCTAAACCCTAAACCCTAAGAACCCTATGAACCCTATGAACCCTATGAACCCTATGAACCCTATGAACCCTATGAACCCTATGAACCCTATGAACCCTATGAACCCTATGAACCCTATGAACCCTATGAACCCTATGAACCCTATGAACCCTATGAACCCTATGAACCCTATAAACCCTATAAACCCTATAAACCCTATAAACCCTGTAAACCCTATAAACCCTATAAACCCTATAAACCTATAAACCCTATAAACCCTATAAACCCCAAACCCTAAACCCTCAACCCTCAACCCTAAACTCTAACCCTACAGGACACGGTCCAGAAGCTGAACACGGTGAAGCCATTCGCCTTTTGGGGCGTCCCGTGCTTCAAGGCCGGGAGCTTTCCTGGTGTTCTGGCAATATCGGAGGCTTCGGGTTTCGGGTTTAGGGTTTAGGGTTTAGGGTTTAGGGTTTAGGGTTTAGGGTTTAGGGTTTAGGGTTTAGGGTTAGGCTTTAGGGTTTAGGGTTTAGGGTTTAGGGTTTAGGGTTTAGGGTTTAGGGCCATCTTCAGTCACGACTCCGAGACAGCGGCGGGTAGTGCAGCAGCTAAGCAAACCCAAACCTTAACGGGGCAAGGTTTTGGGAGTCCCTACATGTTCCCTGAAGGTGATCCCAAACCAAATTCTTCGCTTGCCTTAAAATAAACCCTAAACCCTAAACCCTAAACCCTAAACCCTAAACCCTAAACCCTAAACCCTAACCCTAAACCCTAAACCCTAAACCCTAAACCCTAAACCCTAAACCCTAAACCCTAAACCCTATACACCCTAAACCCTAAACCCTATACACCCTAAACCCTAAACCCTAAACCCTAAACCCTAAACCCTAAACCCTAAACCCTAAACCCTAAACCCTAAACCCTAAACCGTAGTAGAGCAGGAAGAAGCCCTTGCACGCCAAAGTTATCAGATCTGGGCACGCCAAGACCTAAACCCTGGACCCTGAGCCTTACACATTTCTTCCTGCTGCCCCAACCCGGAAAGTTTGGTGCCCTATGTCCCAAAACCTGCAGGGTTTAGCGTTTAGGGTTTAGAGTTTGGGGCACAAATCTCGGCCAGTCCGTTTTCAACATCGTGCACAAGAAGGTGGGGCCGGGGGGGGGGGGGGGGGGGTTGAGTGTGACATCTTCTTGGCACGGGGAGAAGCGACGGGCTCAGGAAGTGAAAGCCTGCACCTTCACTAAGCCCTCAAGCAGCCAAACGCCCCCAGAGTCCGTCATTCTTATCCCTAAACCCTAAACCCTGAAACCTAAACCCCAAACCCTAAATCGCAAAGCCATAAAACATAAACCCTCAAGAGGCAACACGAAGAATTGATCAGTGAGAGCATCATGACTTCGATGCCATTTGGTGGGGTGTAGGTTTTAGGGTCGAGGGTTGAGGGTTTGGGGTTTAGGGTTTGGGGTGTTTAGGGTTCGGGTTTGGGTTCAGGATGGTCTTAGGGTTTGGGTGGGGGCTGGGTTTAAGGTGATCATATTCAGGAATATTCTTCAGAGGTCCTAATGGCCATCCTAGCTCTTCTTACTTAGCCACCAGGCGAATGTGAACACTTCTTGGATTTCCTTATTTGTGGGACAAGCACAGTTCGACCGGCATTTTCCCTGGTTACTCGAGAAGTAAGTTGCCCTTCTTCTTTTCAGAATACGTGTTCAGAGGGTTACTTTCTTGAGTAAGGGTGTTTCTAGACCCCCTGGACCCTAAACCCTAAGCCCTAAGCCCTAAACCCTAAACCCTAAACCCTAAACCCTAATCCCCAAACCCTAAACT